CTAGAATGGCATATTATCAGGGAAGGGCATTTAAGGTAGACTCTCCACTATTGCTTAGATTATTAGTTAGGACCATCCTTGTAGATCTCTGGACATTTCCCTAGTGCCAGATTTCTCTTCAAACCTATAATGGCTCCCTCTATCATGGTATCTGTTTTCTGACTCAATCTTCCTGCTCTCTCATGTCCTCCTCTGCCCCTCCTCTTCTCCCCTTCTCTTTCTCCTAACTCCCTCTTCCCTTCCCCCATGCTCCCAATTAGCTCAGGAGATATTGTGCCTTTCCCCATCTCCAGAGGACCATGTATGTCTCCCTTGTTTCCTAGCTTCTCTGGAGGTGTGGATTGCAGGCTGGTACTCTTACTCTATGTCTAAAATCCATATATGAATGAGTACATACTATTCTTTTTGTGAGTGGGTTACCTCACTCAGGATGGTTTCTTCTAGTTTCATCCATTTGCCTGCAAGTTTCAAAATTCCATTGCCCCGCCGCCCCCGCTGTGTAAATGTACCACATTTACTTTATCCATTCTTCAGTTGAGGGGCTTCTAGGTTGTTTCCAGGTTTTGGCTATTACAAATAATGCTTTTATGAACATAGTTGAACAGATGTCCTTGTTGTATGGATGTGCATCTTTTGGATATATGCCTAAGAGTGGAATTTCTGGATCGTGGACCACAGCAACTCTTTTAAAAGAAAACATTTAATTGTAGGGCTCACCTACAGTTTAGAGGTTTAGTCCATTATCATCATGATGAGAACCAAGGCAGCATGCAGGCAGACATGGTGCTAGAAAAGGGGTTGAGAGTTTGTACCTCTTGACTCACAGGCAACAAGAAGTTGTCTGAGACACTGGGTGGTATCTTGAGCATATATGAGACCTCAAAGCCCACCCCACAGCGACATTCTCCAACAAGGCCATACCTACTTCAGCAAAGCTACACTCACTAATTGTGCCACCCCCTTTGGGGCCACTTTCTTTCAAGTCACCACAAGAGCTAACTGGTAGATAAAATAATGAACTCCCCCACTCAAATGTTTTGGATTCTCTGGCACAGCAGCTCTCAACCTCTGGAGTTGAATGACCTTTATGCATGGGTCACCTAACAATATCAAAAAGCACATATAGCTATATTATTATTCATGACAGTACAAAATTACAGTTATGAAATAGCAATGAAAATAATTTTATGGTTGGGGATCAGAACAACTTGAGGAACTGTATTAAAGGGTTGAGAACCACTGGTCTAAGTGAAATCAGCTGAGACTATGCTGAGGCATTCTCAACAATACCTGCTAAAACTAGTCACAAGAAGCTGAAAGACCACAAGCAGGTTAACAAGGGTTGTCTGATGCAGAAGGCAATGCTGAGCATAGCCTATTTAGGTTATGAAACCTAGTAATGCAAATGTAGTCTTGATAAGATAATGTAACAAATACTACTCCATACTATAACGTTAAGTCTACAGGGCTAGATCCTTGGAATCCCATTAGTCATGATTAACACAGCATCTGTGTTAATTTATTAACTGGCTAATTTATGAGTTTACCCATACTTAAGTCTCTGGGGAAATAGGTTTCCAGATCCTATTCACCATCTTAATTCAGCCCTTTGCAAGAATATCTGGTTCATTAAAACTGGGTTTCAGGCACTGGGGTGGGGTTCAGTGGTCAAGCCTTTTCCTTGATATGTAAACTCCAGTGCTAGCAAAAAAAGAAGAAGTTCTCAGCTGCTCTGCATAACTGGGTCATAGCTCACACCATGAGCTGCCTCTTGTCTCCAGCTGTTTTCACTGTATTTCTTCTTTGTAAGAAAAGGGGCATCCCTTTGGAGTCAATGTGCCATTGCATTCCCAGCTTCCTCAAATCAAAATAACTTATTTACTCACAAAACCTGCACCTTCAGACCCTCTTTTCTCAAGTACAATTGACGGAAATCCAATTTGATTCCTATTTGAATGCTATCTGATCTCACCAAAGACAAACACTTAATGATAAAATATACTTTAGCTCCATGGAGTCCCCTAGATTATGAAGTCACGATAAAAACTGGTTAGGGACTGAAGTCACACCACCATGATTCCAAACCAATAGAAAAGCAAAGCATATTTAGAAACCTAATAGTTATAAAATAAAAAATTATCACATAAAATATAGACCAAATATCTAAAGAAATAATGAAAATTCAAAAGTGAGCAAAAACATAAAATTTTCTTAAAATATTAAGCAAATGTGATTTTTGTTATTGTTTTCTTTTGGTTTTGTTTTATTTTCTAAGGCATGGTCTCTCTGTGTAGCCTTGGCTGTCCTGGAACTTTCTCTGAATACCAGGTGGGCCTTAAACAAAGTTTTATAAAAAACATTTTTGAATAAAAAATACAACAGTAAAAACAATAATAACAAACTTTTTTTTAGTAGGATTAGCTTGCATCTTAGATAGAGTCATGCAGACAATTACAAAATGCAAAGGCTCCTCTGAAAAAGTATTAAATCAGACAGAAGAAAGAATGAAACACAGGAAAGAGCAGTTGCAGAGAAAAAGATAATGGCACAATGATACTACTTGTAACTGAATGAGGAACAAATTATCAATATTGAGGAAAAATTTAAAGGCAGCAAACATAATAATATGACAACACAATCTTCCACGTTGGTACTTGTATTAGGAGAAGAATGGATCAAGGCATAGTGGAATGTGCCCGTCATCCAAGCCCAAGGCAGATAGAGATTGGGAGATTGGGGAGATCAGGAGTTCAGGGCTGTCTTCAACTACATAGTGATTTTAATGTCAGCATAGATTAAAAAAGACCCCTTTTCACAATTACAAAGAAGCAAACATTTAAAAGGAATCATTAGAGAAAAAGAGGATGAAGGGGCGATGAGCATGGATTAGGTGTCCAGTTTAAGAAGCTGGAATGTGGGGTCCAACAACATAAACAGAGAAGCCAAAGCAGACATAAAGACAAGATTGCCAGAATAAAGAACTAAAATTGACGTGATCACATGAAAATGGCTGTAGATATGTGTATCTCATCCCATAGAGAAGGGAGATCTGTTGACCCTTATGGAAATCTACTACCTGTGTCCTCTTTAAGCAAGCCTATGGCAGTAGTGCAGCTGTCATAGATGTCTGTATAGGCTTTTAGAGGACTTGTGCCTTCTATTTTCTGTCCCTTGGAACAATCTTGGTGAATTGGTTGTAACAAGAAGCATGATGACTACTCTTCAGGAGGGGATGTGAGGAAAAGCCCTGTGCTGCATGGAATGAGGGAGCTAGGTTTGTGTCCCCCCATGTGTCCTCAACAAAACCCTAGGGACAGGAATGAGTTCTCCTGGACTCTCTGAACCTAATAGCACAGTCTGATGTTACCAAATAGACATAATCAGTGCCATGTGGAACAAAGAAATGATCTAGGTGTTTTACTTGAGTCTGCAACCTACAAATCATGAGAGGTAATGAAGCTGGTTATTTTAAGCCACTAATTTTTCCCAGCACGTTATCAGACAGCAAAAGACATAGGGGGCAATGAACAAGTTGATTTAAAAAACAAACAAACCAAAAAACAAAAACAAAAACAAAAAAAGCAAGTACCATCTCTAGTGACAAGGACTAAATACAGTTCCATAGTATTCTTTGTCTAGTGCGTGTCAGCCCTGAGTTTAATTGACAGCACTGAAAAGAAGAAACTAAGCAAAAATTAAAACACAAATGTAGAATATGTGTTTAAAAGGTAAGCAAATACTTCAATTGGGTACATTTCTAGAAAAAGTACAATTTACCAAAGAAAACTACTTAAGAAAAAAAACCAGAAAACTTGAGAAAATCTGTAAGTGCTATGTGTTCAAATCATTATTTTTAAAAAATCTCCCAATTTTCCTCAAAAAACAAGAACAACAGTTCCTACAGTATTGGAGGCAATTCAGCCATCACCCATGAGCTCACACCTCTTCCAAAATAAGTAATAACAAAAGTCTTCCATGTTTTATAGAAAATTTATCAGACACTGAGCCACAAACAATAGATGAAATGTATTTTTCTGTGGAAAAGAAAGAGTTTAAAGACATTTTTTAAAGAATGTATGAATCTCATGCCACAAATTAAGGATAGGAAAAAAAGGAAAATCTCTCTGGAAAATAGGCAGAAAATTATAAATTCAGTGTCATTAAGTTGAACCCAGAAATGTAGTAAATGATACTATCATGAATGTTAGATTTATGCCAGTGTGAAAGTGGCTTGTCCTTAGAATATCTATCAATTTGAATTTAGCCCATTAACTTTTAAGTTGAAAAAAAGAAAATAATAAAATTGCAGCTATGGATACCTTCACAAGATCTACACTAAACTGGGGCTGTTGATGCCCTTCTAGGGAAGCAGGATGTTACAGGCAGTTAATGACTGATACGAGATAGGCAGGGGAAAGGAAAGAGGAGAGGAGATGGGGGAGGGGATGGGGAGATAGAGAGAGACATTTTATTCAGTGGTATAATCACTTGTATCTAGACTATGCTCTCACCTCTGTTCCTGCAAATAGCCCTAATAAAACTCAATGGGTCACAAGAGAAAAAAAAAGGAGACATGATGCAGGAATTAATGAATTTTAGGAAGGCCAGCCTCATAAGATATATCTACACTACAACCTCTGCATCTATAGCTCAAAAACCACCAGTGGAGAATGGAAGAAAGATTGCTAAGAGCCAGAACAACAAGAAGTCTCTCCTAGAAGTGGCTAGATAGTCAAGACTGGAACAATGGCAATATTAATAGACATGCTAACACCAACAAGAAAGGAGGGGGGAATTTCATGGGGTCCGACCTCTAGACAAAAAACAAAAACAAAAACAAAAACAAAAAAACAAAACAAGCAAAAAAAATCTATAGGTAACTAATGACATTTTTTAGCTTTCTGTGTGTGTAATTTTATTGTCTTGAAATACTGCTTCATTCCATGTGGCTAAATTACTAATTATATTTACAATAAGTAATATGAAAGAATATAGAAAAATTTAACATTGAGAATGGTTTTAATAAGAAAAGTTTCCCATAGTCTCGAGAATTTGAACAATTGGCCCAAGTTAGTGGCGCTGTTTGGGAGGTTCAGAAGATAGAGCCTTGATGGAGTGGGTCAATGGGGACAGATTTAGAGTGCTTATAGTCTCACCCCACTTCATGTTATGTTCTTGCCGGCTTCACACTTGCACTTCAGACTGTGAGCTGTCAGCTTAATGTCTGGTACTTGCTGCTATGCCTCCTCACCATGGCAGACCTTGACCGCCTGGAAACAGAAGCACAAATAAACTCTTTCTTCCATCAGCTGCTTTTTGTCCTAGTGGCTTAACACAGGGTCTTAGTCAGGTTTCTGTTGCTATGATAACCATCCCCACCACAAACAACTTCCAGGTCAAAGTCTATCATGAAGGGCAATCAGAACACTGACTCAAGTGAGGACTCAGAGGCAGGCATTGAAGCAGAAGCCATGGAGGATGGAGGCACTCTTAGTAGTTTTCACCTCATGACTTGCTCTGCCTGCTTTATTACACAAATGAATACCACCTTCCCAGCTGTGACTGAAGAGTCAACCATGATGAAGAAGAGTGTTGTCATTCCAGATGAGAAAATCTCATTATCTCATTTAATCTGTGTGTGTGTGTGTGTGTGTGTGTGTGTGTGTGTGTGTGTGTGTGTGTTTAGAGAGAGAGACTTAAAATAAACTTGAATTGAATTGAATTCACACAAAAAAGAGCTGTCCGGTGCCACAGGATCCCAAGTGAACAGGACAAGTTTGTTTTAAACAATATTTTCCTCTAACAGTTTGATATGGTTAAAAATTATGCCCATGCCTAAAAGTAGTTTAAAAAAATTAGTCTCACTTTTATGACATTATCAATTCATGTATTTCTGGGAAGCAGATTAAAAGTCTTGTAATTTAAACCCTTATCCTAGAAATTCTAATTTCCAGGGTTTTACAGTCAAAATAATTCAGCATCTGTAAATTATACATTTGAATAATTTGAATAAAAATCCCTCAATTAAAAAAGCCATGCAATAGTTTAAGGCTGTATATTAAGAGAGCTAAATAGCCATCCGGGAAATGCAAATCAAAACAACTCTGAGATACCATCTCACTCCTGTCAGAATGGCTAAAATCAAAAACACCAATGACAATTTATGCTGGAGAGGATGTGGTGAAAGGGGAACACTCCTCCACTGCTGGTGGGAGTGCCAACTTGTTCAGCCACTTTGGAAATCAGTGTGGAGATTCCTCAGAAAAATGGGAATAAACCTACCACAAGACCCAGCAACTCCACTCTTAGGCATATATCCAAAAGATGCCTATTCATACAACAAGGATATCTGTTCCACTATGTTCATAGCAGCATTATTTGTAATAGCCAGAACTTGGAAACAACCTAGATGCCCCTCAACCGAAGAGTGGATAGAGAAAATGTGGTACATCTACACAATGGAGTACTATTCAGCAGAAAAAAAAAACAATGGAATCCTGAGATTTGCAGGCAAATGGACAACACTAGAAGAAACCATCCTGAGTGAGGTAACACAGTCACAAAAAGAAACATGGCATATACTCTCTAATATATGGATTTTAGACATAGATCTGGGGAGTGCCAGCCTACAATCCCATGGCCAGAGAGTCTGGGAAACAAAAACTTCATTCAGTGGCTGATGGAAGAAGAGGCAGACTCCCACAGTTAAGTACTGAGCTGAACCCAAGAAAGCCAGTAACAGAGAGGGAGGACTGATGACCAAAGGGATTAAGAGTGGGCTGGTTTAACCCCCAGAAACAGCTGACCTGACAAAGGTTAACTCTTGAAAACCAGGCATCAGCCTGGGAATACAGTATGGGACAGATCAAGACCCTCTGAATGTGGGTGTTAGTGAGGAGGCCTAGGTAATCTATTGAGCCTTGAGCAGTAGATCAGTACTCATCCCGAGTATACACATGGACTTTGGACTCCCATCCAACAATGTGAGATGCACTCTCACCCTGAACTCTTGGGGAAGGGTTTAGGCCCTGCCCTATATGAAATGACAGACTATGGACACCCCATGGAGGGCCTCACCCTCCCTGGGGAAATGAGGGGATAATGGGGGGGGTTGGGGGAGGGCACGGGATGAGGGGAGGGAAAGGGAGAGGGACCTGGAACTGACTTGTGAAGCAACCTTGTTTCTAATCTAAATTTAAACTGAAAAATAAATTTTAAAAAAGAGAGCTAAAAATCTCACATATAGATAGCTTCTTCTATATATGTGAAAAATTTAACATATACATGATGTCAGCAATAAATGAAAAATTGGCTATGTAATTTAGGTATATTATCACAATATAAATTTGTTATTTAAATCTAGTTAAATAAGTATTACTATAAAGACATAAACACATAACACTTATGTAAAGAGTTAAGTTAGAAACCAGTGTTCAGAGTATATTACTGTTTCATGGAAAATGAAATATTACATGATGCTTGAATTTTACATTTAAACCTAATTTTTATGTGTATGAATATGTGTGCCTCTCATTATGTAACATGTGCACAGGTACTCACAGAGGACAGAAAATAGTAGTGGATCTCCTAGAGAAGGGGGTACAGGCAGTTGTGAGCTACAGAATATGAGTGCTGGAAACTGAACTCAGGTCCTCAGCAAGAATAGTAAGAACTCTTAACTGCGGAGCTCACTCTCCAGCCCCTGAAGTCTAAAATTTTGTGACAAAGAATATGCAGAACATAGTATAAACGTTTGTTCAATCGTGATGTCATCCTTTATTTTTCTAGCCATTTTACATAATGCATCAACAGTAAATGTAAATGGTCCCTAGTTTGAGAAAAGAGAGTGAGAACAAGATGGTGAGCCAGAACAATAAAGAAGATGGAGAACACTAATTTCAGTATGTCTTCTACTAAAGAATGCTCTTTGTCTAAACGCATAGCGGCATTGCATCTGATTATCCCCTTTCTGGAATTCTGTCAGACATCCTGCATACAATTCTGGCAGCACTATATCATGTACTTGGTTTTGTTTTCTAATTGTTTAATTTTCCAAGAGATGTCACTCAACAAAGTTCCATAAACATTCTTATACTACTCTTGAACACCATAGATTTCTCCATACACAGACATCTCAAATGCAATGTGAGTTTAACTGAATCACTGCCAGCAGCTAAATTTACTTTATAGTCACAAACTTTGCCAAAAGAACAGAACTTGAGAGATGGAGAATTACTGCAGTTTGACTGAGCTGTGCCTCTAGGTGAAGACAAACTGATGTAATACACCGAGAACAAGCCCTTGGTGGAGGTTTACGTTCTTCCATTGGTTAACTTAGGGAGTCACCTGATTGTATCAGATCATATGATACTTGCATCCAAGACCCTTCTGTGATCACAGTTCTTTGGTGTTTGTGATTTTACAGTGTTTGCTTAGTCTTTGCTCTTTCAAAGAACTGTATTTAGAGAATAATGGAATTGAAACAAAAACAAGCAGAGTTGAGAAAGTAGCCAGTATTGCACTCTGAGCTTAAGATTTTTAAAATATATTTATCTATCTGCTCTTTTAAAAGATGGTATAACGTAGGTATGACTAAGACCTTCTCAGTTAAAATCTATTGTATTAAATTCACATAATTTCTTCTCTGTATATAAAAGACAGCATTTCCTAATTATATAGGCATGATGCTTTCATTAAAAGAATTAATATGCATTTTATATATTCTATCAAACAGTATTCTCTAAATTCTGCTTTTAAAATGATTTTTGCAAGATTTAAGGAATCAACACTTCAGCAAGTCAACAATTCAGCTGTCATAACATACAACTCAACTGATTCAGAAACACACAGAAATCCTGTAACACATTCTACATTTTTCACTATTAACTTAAAACTTCCCAAGACTTGAAAAATATTGTATTCATGGGGAATATTCAATGCATAACTGAAATAACAAAATTGTATGCATTGGTAACTTTTGGCAGGTGATTTGAAAGGACTGACTATTACAGACACCAGACTCCATTCTCCCAAGGATCCTTTGTTTTTACTCACCACCCTCAACAAGAAAACCTTAACTCAATTCTGCAAAAATCCCTGAGGTTATGACCTATGACCCATTAGGTATAAGATACACACAACCTAAAGCTTCCTATAAAAAATCATGTATGATGTTGACAACAAAAGGGGTATGAATGGTCATAGCTTCCTTTATTAAGATGTTTAATGTTGCCAAGTTACATTAAAAATAAAAACCTGTGTCATATTCCACCTTAGCCTCTGAAGAGCAAGGTGATTATTACAATGCCTTTTCAAATTACTCCTATCTCAATTCTAAAATGATATATAATATATAGGTATAATAAAAAGTACTAGATGAATGGAAACAAATAGGTTACAGAAAACAATGAAAAACTTTACTTTTTCTTAAAAACAGCATAGTTAGTTTTAAGATTTTCTTAAGTCTTGAATTAGCAGACCCACTTCCTTGTTCTCTAATAAGGATTTACATTTACATGGTAAAATTGAGAAATATTTATTATAATAGATACCATATAACATGGGGAGCCTCACACAGATGAATAGACACAGATTAACATTTGATTTCACATTGACTGCAACAGAAGGCCTTTAAATATCTATATGAGTTTTCTGCATTTTTTACTGAAATTAAGATTGAAGCATCAGTCCTGTCTTTTACAATACTACTTCAAAAGACAAACAAAGAAAGCCTAGCTAGATGACTCTCATTTCAGTATTTTCTTCCTGAGCTAGCTAATAACCTACAAGACATCAGTAATTCCTTTCTTTCTCAAATTTTAAAGGTGTTTTCACTTTCCTTGGGTGTCTAATAAATGCAAAACATTTGGTATTCTGTGTTTTTCTCTGAGCTGCCCATCCCAGACAGGAGGTTCATTTTGCCTCAAATCCCAGTGCACACATGTAAACACGAATTCTCAGAACAAGGCAACAAGTGAGAGGCAAGGTTAAAACAAGGACTCAGATGGTCTGACTCACAGTCCAGCCTTCACCCCTTACAGCTTGCTGCTTCTCTTTGTCCTCTTTGCTGAGAATCAAGACACTTGTTCCTGAGCAGGGTGTTTCTGCTGCCAATTCACTTTCTACCGCATTATGCAATGAAGTCAGAAGCCAGAGCTTGTGACATCAATATAGGTTGCTATGGTTACTCTTTCCATAAGTACTACAGGTTCAGTGTAGGCTCAGAAAGGGGAGGACTTCAGTAGAGAAGCAAACTAACGAGCATTCTCAGCTTAATTTACAACAATAATTGGTAAGGAAATCTTTTCCAAACAAGCCGTACATTTTATATTGATACATTATCGTTGAAATTATTTCTCTAATCTATTATTTTAAAAAGAGATTTCTGCAACAGAAACAGCATTGCCAATGACTTTCCAAATAACACACCTCCATGATCCACGTCCAAAATAAATCTCACTTCAATATAACAAATTATATCACATACTTTGTTCTTACAGAAGTCAAGCTGTGTATGTGTGTGTATTACCAGTTGTGCATAAATTAATAACCTAATGACAACTCAGTTTTCCTACCACCTGAATTATAAAATGGCCTCAGATTTGCATACATGACAGCAGTTTCAGAACAGAAGTCTATTTTTAACAAAAGTGGTTTTATAAAGATCACCTTTTGATTCTATCAATTCACCCTTATTTTCCTAAAATATTCACCTAGTGCCACAATTTAAATATTTACTCAAGGAGGGAGATTTTGTTTAAAAAGAATCCTACAACTTCACATTTTTAAGCCTGAATTTAAAGCACAGCAGGCAGTAATTACAGACACTGGCCTCCTTTCTCCCATGGAGCCTTTGCTCTTACTCACTTACCATCCGCAAGGAGAAAACGTTAACTCAATTCTGCAAACGGCCCTGAGGTCAGTGCTGGGGCTACAACCTGAGGCCCATTAGGAGGAATAAGATACGGGCAACATAAAGCCTCCTATAAACCATTCTTACATGTTGATAATTATAACAAAAATGCAGAGCCATGTGCCAGGCAGTATACTTAATTTATAACCACCTTCCCATAATGAAGGCCAGCAGTATTATCTCTACAAGTAAAACTGAAACTCGAAGAGGTAGAGTAGCTAACCCAAAATTACATAGCTCCTTAGAAATACAGACAGCACCCTAATTCAGGGCTGAGTCCAAATTTTTATGATGTTTAAGCAGAATTTAATGACAATTTCCTATTGCTATGATAAAATTTGAAAACAGTGCCATGACAAAATTAATCAGGTGAAGAATTCACCAGTGCAAAAAGCATTCTATAACTTTTCTATTCTGATTACTGAATGCATGTGGTGGCCTATTTTCCTATTTATAACAATTGCAGTATAATGTGTGTTTTCCTAAAGATACTGTTTTATACTTCAGATAGAGCATGGAAATGCACAATCGGGGAGAGCATAAGCTCCTCAACAGACGCTGGAAAAATACATACAAAAAAAAAGCAGCACAGACATCCATTCTTACACCACACATAAAAAGCAACTCATGATGAATTAGAGATTTAAACCTAAACCTAGAAGTCCTGCGAGAAAAGATGAGAGGCCTTTGGGGTCCAGTGCCTGAGCTGACCCTGTGTTGAGGCTTCACCTCTGACAAACTGGTTCTTTCCCTGAATCTCTGGACAGTCTCACTCAACAACTCCCACAATGCAGCTTCATGGCTGACTATGTCTTCCTCCTAGGAACCTAATTTTAAAAGACATAACTTTCTCTTTCTTTTTCCTCCCCCCATTTCTGTCATGCCAGGTGCCAAGATTTAAAGCTTGTCTGCCTTGCTTTTCTCACAGGCTCCAATCAATTGTGACTCGTGTTTCAAAATCAAATAAACAAATGAAAAGTTGGGGGCAAAACTCCTTTGTATTGTTCTTAGCAATGCGTTTTTCAATTGGACACAAAAGACATGAGCAACAAAATCAAAAACTACTTAGAGGAGGAGGTACAGATATTTGCATATATCCAATAAGCATGGCTATCCAAACTATATACCATACAACTCATTTGCAAGAAGAGAAATAATCCAGTTAGAAAACAGGCATAAATACCCGACTAGACATATAAAGACCTATATAATGGTCAGCCGGTATATGAAGAGACATTCAACAAGGTCAGTCACCAGAGAAGAGCTAACCAAAGCCACAGTGAGTTTTTTGCCTTTCTCCATTGAGAGTCGGCAGTGAGAAAAAAGTCAAAAGATAACATGTGTTGCCAGGATATGGATAAGGGAAATGTGTTTATACTGTTTGTGGGAATGTAGGTTGGTACAAGCATAGAAATCTATGGCTGGTCCTAACAAATTAAAAATTGAACTAATATATCGTCTAGCAATTACAATGCTAGGCATATTTCCAAAGAAAATGAAATCTTTATCTCATAGGTAAATCTCCACTTGCATTTTCATTGCAGCATTATCTACAATAGGCAAATACAAAACAACTTAATGCCTATCAACAGATAAATGGATAAAGAAAACCAAGGGTAGGGATGTGTGGGTGTGAGTGTGGGGGGGGGGATTGGGGGGGGGTTGGGTCTAAGAAGGCCCAGACACAAAGCCTAGTGGAATTTCCTGAGCCTGGCTAGAGTTTGGAGACCTGTCTCCCAGCTAAAATATCTGCATAGGAGTGGCTCAGCAAAACTGCCTCTGCTCAGCTACTGCTAAGGTGGTGGAATATTACTGGTCCTTACACCTCACCCTATCCTGAAGTCCCCACCCACTTTCCCAACGCTATATAAGCACATGCCTGTTACAATAGAGGGAGACTCTGCTTAGACAGGTCTTCTTCAAGACTCAGTGTGGTTTTCTCTGGTGACTAGGATGGTGGTCTGGCTCATCCACACTCACCATTCAGTTCACGACCAGCTGGACCAGCCCTTCCCACAGCCCTGACTTTATTTCTGCAAAAACACAGATGAACCTGAAGGGCATCATGCAAAGTAAGCCAAACCAGACACAGAAAGACTATTCACTCATGTGCAGACACTAAGAAAACTATTTATTCCTAGAGCCCAGTAGAAGAGTGGCTTACCAGATTGTGAAGGATAAGACAAATGAAAGCATACTGGTCAGACTGGACAAGTTTTCAATCATAAGTCAATTCAGGCCTGGAGAGATGGCTCACTAGCTAAAATGTTTACTGCCATGTAAAAGTATGCCCTGTATATCATGTAAAAAAAAGCTTCATATAAAAAGCATGAAGACCTGAATTCATTGTCCAGTGCCCACACAAGACTAGGTGCAGCCACATCCATGTGTAGTCACAGAGCATTAGAGGCAGGGACAGGTAGACCCTGGGGCTTGCTACTCAGCCTGTCAGCTGAACTGGTGAGTCCAAGGTTCTCTACCTCATACACATATAAAGTTGGGGAAGCCTTAAGGCTCCATAGCATGTATGTTGACTATAGTTAATAATAATGACTCATGCCCTGGGAAATTGTTTAGGCATGTTCTAAATGGTCTCATCACAAAAGTAAATAATGACTATGTTATAGGGGTTGAGAATGGCAATGTGCTAGCTAGTTTTATATCAACTTGATGGAAGCTACAGTCATCTGAAGGGAGAGAGAATGACAATTGAGAAAATGCCTCCATAAGATCGAACTATAGGCAAACCTGTAGTGCATTTTCTTGCTCAGTGATCGATGTGGGAGGCCCCAGCCCATTGTGGTTGGTGTCACCCCTGGGATGGTGGTCCTGAGTTCTCTAAGAAAGCAGACTGAGAAAGCCATGAAGAGCAAGCCAGTAAGCAGCATTCTTCTATGGCCTCTATATCAGCTCCTGACTCCAGGTTTCCACCCTGCTTGTTTTCCTCCCCTCACTGCTTCCTTTGTTTTTATGGAAGTGTGAGTAGAAATAAACCCTTTCCTCCCCACTTTCTTTTTTGTCACAGTGTTTTATCACAGCAGTAGTGACCCAAATTAAGATAACAGTCACTTTCATTATTCATGTATTTGTAAACATATATGAAAACATCGCAATGTGTAACCCAAAATGTCACTTCATCTGTCAATCATATCTAAATAAAGCTGGGAAAATGTTGGCTCCATAAGTTTTCATGGAGTTACTTTAATATTCTAGTATGCTCCAAACTGATATACAATCTTCAGCTCAAATAATAAGTTATATTGTAACTTATGTCACTGATAACTATTAATTCAACAAACATTAGGTCTCTATCATGGATCAGTTACCATGCTAAATGTTAGATATGAAATTACAGGCATCTCTGAAATGTTCTTCAGATAAAGGAGCATATATTTCACAATCAGAAAAAAATGCTAATTAAATGACAAAGTAAAGAAACATCCAATTGCAGTAGGGCAACAGTCCCTCGTCAAGTGTCTGCCCTAACGCTTCCTAAGGTATATCACTTATAGACTTGTACTATGGAATATCTACAACATGACAGCTGTGACATCTCAGGTCTGATCTGATCCAAATACTTTAGATACTCCCCAGGCCAGAATGTTAAAATTGAACTCCTTGGCCTGGAATTCCAAGCATGGGAATCCTACCCCAGTCTTTGTTCTGTCTTATGGCCTTTCATTTCTCCTGTAAGAATCACCTACCACATCAAATGGATGACTTGTCTCTCCAAAAACACTTTTGCTTTCACTTTTCAGCCGCTCTGCTTTGGCCAACCCATATCCTCCATAGACTTTCCCATTCTCTTCCTTGCTGCTTCTCAACCTTTAATACTACAAGCACCTTGGATTCATTACTGGGTGAACAGAGGTATTGGTCTATTGTTGTAGAGTTGTATATATATTCATCTTCTCGACTAGACTGTGATCTCCTGAAGAGAAAAACCTTGTAAGTCTACCTCAATATGTATATATGTGGTGTTTACTAATGTTTATGCCTCATTTCAGGGCAAGCAAAGTTTATTCCATATGTTTAGAAGCTAAATATTTGCATCCTTTACTGTATGAATATGATTTCTTCTGATCATGACATTGAGATACTTGTACTTGGTTCAGTAAAAACTCATGAGTAATAAATTTCAAGGTAAGAGTTTGCTACCTGGCTACACAGAAGAAAAAAATAATTTTCTTGAATTTTAAATGACTTTCAATAGATATTGCAACCAAAGATA